AGAAGAAGAAGACGAAGATGTTGAAGAAGAAGAATTCAAAGATGACATGTGATAAAGAAGAAGAAGTTAAACTCAAAGACGAAAAAGAGCAAGATGATGGTGCTGATGAAGAACAACTCGGTAAAATACAATGAGGAAGATACTAAGTATGAGAATGTAAAGATGACGAAAGAGATTAAGAAAACTTAAAGAATAAGAAGACAAAGAAGACAAACACGATAGATTATGAAAAAGATGGATAGTGCAAAATACCAAAAAAGGGTAATGATAAAAAGAGAGAAAGTTAAAGTAGAATAAGAAAACCAAAAGATTAAGAAACATAAGTGGAAGAAGAATAAACTCAGAAAATGATGTAGACAAAGTATAATAAGGTCCAGATGATGTATAAAATTTTTAAAAAGATAAAAAAATGAACAAAAAGACGAGGTGTTAATGTGGGAAAAAAAAAAGAATAATGAGTTGGAGAATAAGAAGATTGTGAAAAGGAAGTCAAAGAAGAGGAAAAAGAAGAAAGAAGAAAAAAAATGAAAGATTAAGAAGAATAATTAGATGAAGACAAAGTATAGGAGGAAGAAAACATAGATTAGATAAGTAAGAAAAAGTCAAAAGAAAAAAACCTAAGATGACAAAAATCAAAAAACAAAAGAAGGAGAATTCAAAGAAGACAAAGATGATAAGGAAGAAGAAGAAGAAGTAGAACTCGAAAATGATGAAGTAGAAGATGAAAAAAAATAAAAAATAAAGAAGATGAGGAAGAAAACTAAAAGTTAATGAAGTAGAACTCAGAAAGTAAAACTTTTATATCTTGACAGAATTTTTTTGGTTACTATAATTTAAAACTACAAATAATTAAAGAGAATAGTATAATATGTATACATAATCAAAACTAAATACATAATAATTTGGTTTCATCGTTTTTGTAGTTCCACATTCAACTATAACAATTAGAGAATTAAACATTTTTAGATCATGAAATAATTTGACAATTGGTTATAATGTAGTTTTGAATAATAAACTAATAACGTTTTTCTATAAAAAGACTAAAAAATCATGTGCGCTTCAAGATATTTATAAATGTTTTAAATCCAAAGCGTGTGGAAATGTTGCCAAAGAAGGTTCTAACGATTGAAGACGTATTCTCTAATCGTATCTTCAAATCAATCATTTACAAACTCAACAAATAATATAGGTTTAACATTCTTATGGGTTACGAACATGTAATATCTGTATTCGAAAAATCACTCCTATTATAATATAGGTTTAACATTCTTAGGGGTTACGAACATGTAATATCTGTATTTGAAAAATCACTCCTATTATAATATATCAACGATTTGTAGCGAATGGTTTAGAGAATACACTCTTTTGGAGATTTTAATTTTAAAATCATCATTGAAAAGTCTACAGAATAATGAAATTTTAACATGAATAATTGTACAAATTAATTATCTATAAATTTAATATGTAATTATAATTATGTATTTTTTGTATAAATAGAAATTTTTATATTTAAAAGAATCTAAAGAGATTTCACTACATGTATTTTAAAAAAAAACTTATTAATGTATTTTCATTAAGGATCTAATACCGTTTATTTTTTAATTTTTTACTTTACGTTTAATGTTATATATAATAAAGTTATGTCAATTAAAATTAACATCAGCAATTTATAGCAAATGTATGTAGAGACTTTTAAAAAATTTTAATTTCAAAAGAATCAATTACAAATCTAAATAGTAATGAAATTAAAAAATGAATAATTAAATTTAATATTTTATGTAATTCTAGAGTATTATGCCCGTGTGCCGCAAACAATTCTGATGGAGATACTGTTCAGAAAATAACTTTCATCATTACAGATCTCGAGTAAGCAATATTTTCTTTCATGATCACTATAACTTGGTAATAAAGTTTATAACTTTTATTGTTAAATCGAAGGGATTTGAAATTGAAATGTATCTTACGTGTGGAATTTGCTGCTAACATCAAAGAAAGAAGCAAATGATTCATTCGTCCTCTTGCAGTTTGTGTTTAAACAATTAGAGCGTAAAGAAAAAAGAAGGTATGGGTCATGAAGCATATGTCATTATTATCTTCATTAATTTCATAAATGTTTTATTTTGCATGTATAGTTCTTACTGATCGTTTTATGTATATAGATAAAATAACTATCCATGCTCATGATGCAATTGGTTTTTCCCGTCTTCTCTTTGCTCCTACTACAGATGATGTCCTAATTTTCAAAAGAAAATAAGTAATCCGACAATGATATTGAGAATATTTTTTATATATACAATAACCTTTAAATACATATGTGTCTCTTAAGTTCAGGATTCGAAACAAGTTTAACATGACAGAGACGCAAGTTGGAACAAGCACAAAAAAAGACCTCTGAACAAGATCGTTTGATTATGATGGAGTTTTAATTTTTATCTCTTTAAATTCCATGCAACAAGACTGAATATCATTGTATAAGCTACATTTCTTTTTCTCATGATAAGGCTTTCTATCTTATGTTATGTTGAATCTTTCTATTTTATTTGATATTTCTTTTATTAGATTTTCCTTGCATTTGGTTATAGTTTAGTATAGTACTTCTTATATTACGTTATATATATATATCCACTAAATTTATACAGTAGAGACATTTATTATAGTACTTTTTATATTACGTTATATATATATATATCTATTTATAAATGTAGATGATTGTTAAATAACGTTAATACGTGGGCTATATGAATCAATTTAGAATAATAAATAATTTGTATTTGGTTATCGTTTCATATAGTACTTCTTATATTATATTATATATATCCACTAAAGTTATACAGTATAGACATTTAATATAGTACTTCTTATATTATGTTATATATATATATCTATTTATAAGTGTAGACGATTGTTAAATAACGTTAATACATGGATTATATGAATCAATTTAGAATAATAAATAATTCAATAAATTTTTGTAATTTATGGATATCTAATATTTTAGTTTCAACTATTGAAAATAGAGAATGTCACGTATATATTAGAAAAACTTTCTAAATCTGATAAAAAAATTACAAAATATGTTAAGTAAAGAATTTGATATAATCAAATTATAACAAAATTTGTATAGTAATTATGCCCACGCGCCGCAGGCAGGTACCTAGTTATTTATTTAAAATTCTACTTGAAAAGCCTTTAAATCAAGTAACTTAAACTTGTATAAGTAGTATATTTTTTATATATAAAAAATAAATTTCTAATTAAAACAGTGATAATGGAGATTTTAATATCATGGTGGTTTATTTTTGTTGTTAATGGAAATTTTTAAAAAAAAAATTTTCAACCATAATATTAGGATTTGGAAACTTTTTTTAATTTTTAAATATTGATATGGATGCCTTAAAAACAATATGGCTAAACTGTTATTAATAATAGAATAGTTTAAATTACAAATTTTCCTATATTTTTTTGTATTACCAATGTAATTTTATAATTTAAAAACTTTTTAAGTTTTAATTATTGATGTGGACTCAAAACATTGACCTTTTAAATCTTATGCGGATATCTTTGGAGGCATACAACTTTAGCTTTTATTTTTCTATAAATATATTTTTTGTTAACAATACAGTTTTAAAATTGGAAAATTTTCTTAATTTTAAATATTGATATGAACCAATAGAATTGAAATTTTAAATCCTATGTGGACACTCTTAGAGGCATATAGCTTCAGATTTTATTTTTAATATATTTAGATATTAACGCTGGAACATCCCACACGAGTCCTGTTGCGGCAAGTGATTTTGGTTTCTCCTCCATGTTTTGAGGCTTACGGAATGTATTCTGATACTGTTTGGTTCAGCTAATTGTTACCTTTGTGGTTCAGGTTGGATTGCTAAACCCTTGTCAGATGCCTATTCCAAAGATTTTTCTCGGATACCTCAGTCTCTTTCGCCTTAATGCGGAACCTTTTTCTCTATTTTTAGTAGTTCATTTTTCAAAATTTTTGGGTATCAATCACTTGATATGTTTCTCGGATTACTTGAAATTTATCATTCTTTTCAAATCTGGTGGGAAAACTTTAGAGATTTTACGGTTTCTTTTTCAATATTAAAGTATAGTGGCTTTGTTTTCATCATATTCTTTTTAATTTAGCTAATAGTTAAGCATATAGTTTAATCAAATTGGTTCTTAATTTTATATTGTAATATTCTTTAATGAAACCTAACTCTATTTTTTGCTTTTTTTAATTAAAATGGTTGTACACACATAAAAAAAAAAAAATTTATTATAGTTATGTGACAAAAATTTGGATGCTAACGTAGAAGTCTCTAAATATATATGTATACATATGTAAATAAATTTTAATATTTTATTTGTTCTTAGTTATTTATATAATTGAAACATATAATTTAAATTTTCCTATTTTAAAATTATTTATTTATTTTATTACTATTAATATAAATTGTATATATAATTTATTCATCTTTAATAATTTTTTAAACAATAATAGAATTTAGAAATTTTTTTACTTTTAATGTTGAGATGGACCAATAAAAAATTATACCAAATTTCTTTATTCAACAATAATATTAGAATTTGTAAATTTCTTAATTTCCTTATTTAACACTAATATTAAAATTTGGAAATGTTCTTAATTTTGAATGATGATGTGGACCAATAAAATTGTTTATTTTCTTATTTAACAATAATATTAAAATTTTTATTAGTATAAGATCCTCCTAATATTAAACATGTGCTTCCTTTTAATTCGGTGAGATACAGGTCGATCTCACAACCACACGAGAAGGACAAAATATAAGGTCTAGGCCCTAGCTAGGGTTAAGTTTTCAATTATGGCAGAAGCCGAACGTCCTCAGAAAATTGAAAAGAGAGTTTGTGAAGACAGAATCAGTTCGTTGTCTGACGATTTGCTCATATAGATATTATTGCGTGTTCCTACCAAAGATGCGGTGGCGATCACGTTTTTGTCTAGACGATGGCAATTTGTATGGAGGATGTTGCCAAGACTTGACTATCAAGAAACCAAAAACAGTGACGCAGAAAGCAAGAGCGTTTGGTGGTTACTTGATCAGTCCATGCGATTATAGGATGCACCAATACTAGAACGTTTGTGTATTAAACTCGGTCCACAATGTCCTGTTGATGTTGATGTTGATGTTGTAAACTGGGTTGCAAAAGCAGTTGATCGTCGCATACGTCGGCTAGTTTTTCATCTCCTTTGGAAAAGCGAGCCAATTAGATTGCCTAAGAGCCTTTACACTTGCAAAACGCTTAAGATATTGGCTCTCTCCAAAAAAAATTACCGTGGATGTTCCGTCTCCGATCTCTCTCCCATCACTCGAAGTACTTACTCTTCGCCATGTTGTGTACAAAGACGAAGATTCTCATGTTAGGCTTTTGGCAGGTTGCCCCACTCTCAAGAGTCTAATGGTGGTTGGGCTAGTTGGTGTAAATGATAATGTTATAAATTTCAGTCTGAAAGTGCCTTCTTTACGGAGGTTAGTGTATATACATACGTTTCAAGAAGATGAAGATGATACTGATAGGTCGTTGGTTATAGACACCCCGGAATTAGCGTCTTTAGAGATCCAAGACTTTATGGCGCACTCTTGCTCGATTGAGTATATGCCTCGTCTTGCTAAAGCAATTATTAAAGTTGATTTTGACCTCAATGGCAACTTTCGGAGATCTCTTTCTTCGATCAAGCATCTGACCTTAGTTTTCCACAGTACAATGGTTCCCTGGTCTAACACTGTTAACTACTCTGGGCTTATACAGTGTAGTATAGTTCTGTGTGACACAGACTTGTGTGAATCACTTGTGGTTTTGCTCTCTCATTGTCCTAACCTAAAAGCTTTGCGGTCAACTGTGTACCAGTGGTTGACCAAGACATTGAATGGAACCAGCCGAGTTCTGTTCCCAAATGCTTGTCGTCTAGTCTCGAGATCTTTGGATGGAAAGGATATGAAGGAAGAGAAAATGAAAAACAACTCGTAAGATACATTTTAGAAAACTCCAAATGTTTAAAGAAGGCCGGAATCTCGCCGAACTCAAACTTGAGTGCTGAAGAGACACTGAAGATGACAGAGGAGTTCAAATCCATGCATAAGGTTTCTGTGTGTCAATTCTCTAATCGAATCTTATTTAGAGGTATCTTATTTAGAGGTTCGTATTGTGATTGGTGACCAATAACTTCGTCTGTATGCCACAAGATTTTTTTTCTCTCTTTCTAAATTTATGATATTCAGTTTGGATTTTGTTTTGCTATTCCATTGCTTTGGAATATGGAAAAAGGAAAAGAATATGAAAATGAACTCATAAGGCACCTTCTAGAAAACTTCTAAGTGTTTGGAGAGGCTCTCTGCACAAGTGTTCATTAGACTTTTGTATAATGGTCAATAACTTTTGTCATTTTGTCTGAAGATGATGTAGGCGAGTAGTTTCTCAAATTTTCTTCATAACTAAAATAACGAGGAATGAGATTAAATACTCGAGAGGACAATAATCCTCCGATTTTCTGACAACTTTCAAAAGTATTCGAAAACTATCAGCAAGTGAAGAGAGCAGAGAGATTCATTCTCTGCTCTCTTTAAGTAGTGAGTTCCATTATTGCGCTTACAATATCTCCATCATGACCCTTGAGTGCCTTAACCGCTTTGCTACGCGAAACTCCAGCCTGAGTCATGACCAAATCAATGTCACGAGCCTCCACACCGGTCTCATCAACTTCCTCTTCATCTTCTTCCGCTTGCGCTTCTACTGTGGCTGTAGATGCCTCTGCTCTCTGAGACATGGCTCCAGTTTCAGGCATCCTAAACTGTTGAGCGGCTTGTGTTTGAAGCTGCGAGCTCAAGTCCTCGATTTTGGCCTCACCGAATATAACGTAGGTCTCTGAATGTGGGCTCTTGAAGACATCAGGCTTTGAGATGAAGAAGAGTACCTGGCCAACATTAAGGACGTCTATGGTTAGAATCTTAGACGCGTAAAAAATACATCTTTAAGGGTAGTGAAAACAGAGAAACGTTTTTGGGTTTTACGTTTTTGGTTCTTTTGATGGTCACTCGGCTAACACCTGTGACTGGTTTCATACCGAGCTTCAACATTGCCTTCCTGCTCTTCTTTTCACTTCTGCTCTGCTTTGAATTTCCACTTACACCTACGCAGAAACTTCAATCCATTTAAAGAAAAATTCGGATCTCTGTAATAATAATTACTCATGAGTTATTTCTCAAACTGAAAGAAAAAAGAGGCAAATTTCTCATCAGAAATGTGATTCATATGCCATTGTGCCAAACATCTATATGTTAAGCAAAACTATATCACTTCCACCATTTCTAACTATTGGAGGATCAAAACGCAAACACAACTTCACCATTTCTAAAGAACTATCAGGAAACTTATTAGCAGAGGAAGAATTACCTTGAGCGTCTGCGTCTGCGTCGTCGTCTTCATCTTCTTCGTCATCATCATCATCTTCTTCGTCGTCTTTCACATCTTCTACAATCGGTTCATCAGTCTGAAAATTGCCACCGAGGGTAAGATTTACACACATTGAACGCAAAAACCATGACAAATTAAAGAAAATACAAAACCGTCCCAAGAAAGTCTCACCTGAAGCTTCTTCTCGAGCTCTTCAGCGATGGAAGAAGCAGCCACTGGATGCTCAGGTTGTCCATCGGCGGATTCAGTGACCACTGCAGGAGGAGACATTGCTTCAAGAGAGATTTCTGGATAAGACGATCGGTGCGGTGAGACTGAGAGTGACGACGACGACTTGGGAAAATCTTTGGATTTTGTTATGTCGCTTCTTAATGGGCCTTTATTAGGCTTTTCTGTTTTAAAACCGGATCGAATTTTATAAATCATTTATATGTGGGGCGCGCATGATATTCAAGTGCCCGAGTCAAAGTAGAATGCCAGGGAGTTCATAAACCATAACTCGATCGGAACAAATAGAGACTAGACATAACGTAAGCCCTAAATTTCCGTTTCGGCCTCTTGTTTTCGCTCTCTCTCTCTCTGTTATTTACGTTTGACTCAAGCAAGCTAGCTACAATGGCCATGGGTGAGCTCGCATGTACATACGCCGCTCTTATTCTCCACGATGATGGAATCGACGTCACTGTTACGCTATCGTTAGTACTTTTATCTTGCCTTCTCGGTTTAACTTTTGTATAAACTTTTTTTTTTTCTGGCTTAATAAATCTGTTTTGGTGTTAAAACCTCTTATACATTGGTTCCATATGTGTACTTGACAATTGAAGCTGATATTTGCATCTGACAATTGAAGATGATCTCGTCATGAACGCTGGTGCTGGTGGCTCTGCTTCTGCTGCTCCCATGGCCGTATCTTCCTCTGCCCCTGCAGCTGGAGGAGCCACTCAAGAAGCCCCAGCTTCTGAGCAGAAGAAGAAGGTATTGTATTACTCTCTCCTTCCAAGTTTTTCATAAACTTTTTTTATCAATTTATAAACACTAATCTATGGTCTTGATGTATCATCTTTAGGAGGAAGCCAAGGAAGAGAGTGAGGATGATATGGTATTTGGCTTGTTTGACTAGAAAGAAAAGCTTTGGTCCTTTGGTATTTTCTCTTATCATTTTGTTTTATCATTTTGTTCTATAAGCAATCTACAATGTTTAGGCGACTTAATTTTATGATTTTCGAAATTTGGAGACTTTCTTTTATATGTAGAAACAATGCAGTTTTAGTCTAGTGTTTTTTACGTGGCACATGTTTATCATCTCAGTCTCATGACCTTCGGGCCTTTTGTAACGACTTCTCAGCTTTTCCGCTCGCTAAGCAAAAACGTGAATAATTTTGTTTTTATTTGATTTAATTTGCACATGATTCTCTAATTTGGTAATTATAACTGTAACACCGGACCACCATTTTGAAAATTAGAGATGGTCGGCTATAAGAAAAACTATCTATGGAAGGAAAAGTATATGCCTTTCTTTTTCTTAATCTACAAAGACCAATGACTTAAACGGGTTTGGTTGATTTATCATACTGGCCAATATGTCTGTAATTTGGAATTACACAATAATCTGTCACATAAGACCACCATTAATAGAAGAAACACTAATTATACAATATATGGCTGAAAACTATATCACCTTTTAAAAACTGCTTTCTTAGTCTTATGATGAATCGCAACATACTCCAAAGTCACAAAACAAAAGAATCGAATTAGAAAAAACATTAAAACAAAGATTCATTACAATAAGTAACCCTACGCCAAGTCTATAAACTCGTACCGGACACTAGTTCCTTGATCTTCACATGGCAACTCGAAACGACAAAGCGGACAAACATGACTGGTCTCAAACCACTTTACGATACACCCATCGTCAAATTCATGTCCACAGGGCAAAGTCACAACTCTTCCGCCATTGGTAAACTCTTCCAAACAAATTGTGCACTCTTCCAAGCTAATCTTCATGCATATGTTCTTCTCCTTTTTAATCTTCTTGTTGTATATTTTCCTGGTTAGGGATTTGACCACGAGCTTGCTAGCTGGTCGAAATCGGGTATTACTGGGCTCATCGAACGAGACTTGAGCCACTTGTTCAATCTGAGACTGAGATTCTTCATCATCAACATCATCGAGATAATCAGGAACAAGATCCAACCGAACATCTAAAGCACAGTTATGAGAATACTCGGTGCTTGTGGGACGAGTTAACTCATCAACATAGACAATTAGCTTTAGCAACGCATCAGAAATATCATCCTCGTTGATTCCTGCTTCCATCAAGAAATATTCCAAGGCTTCTTTGCTTTCACAAACGTCGCCCACATCGTCGTTGATGAAGTCTTTGACAAACGTCGGCAGAGTCGTGAATGTTGGGTTGTGATCATATTCACCAAGGATCCTTACCGTGATTCTGATTTTGCCAGCATCTTCTGGTTCAGGATCGTTATCGATGTCGTGATACAACTCGGCTCGCATGACTACTTTACTCAATCACTGTCGACCAGCCTAACAAAGAGGGTTCTGCATAGAGCTCTTATAGACAAACACGATTGCCACCTTTCGTCTTCCTTCCAAGATTTTCATCCATGAACCATATCTATATATATGTTATTAATATACAATATATAGACTGTAAATATTTTTTCCCTTTTTATAAGATAATATAGGACACATACCTTTGTTTCCACAAAAAGCTTAGATTAAATTATTTATTTTTAAATTAATTTGTTTCATTTTTAGATTTGAATTTGAATTTCTACGGTTAATCAAATCTAATGAAAATATGAGTTTAATATTGCAAGAAAGTATTGATTTCTTTCTATTTAGGGCAAGAGCTAGGTATTACACCTTTTTTTATTATTATTTGATTTTAAAAGTCTACATAAATTCTTTTTGCGTCTTACATATATATATCGGTGCTTCAAGGGTTTTTCTAAGACACCATTGATATTAAAAATTTCAATAGTACTTTTAAATTTCATATTCCAAAGCAGTTTAGCGTTTGGCTTTGAGAACCCGATCAGGAGGAGGAAAACCAAGCAATAAATATTTACTTTGGTATATTATTCTTGCATGTTGTGATTCATTTGACATGGATGTGAAAAAAAAAAATTATTAATGAAATGATTAGTTTAGAAGAACATATTCTAATGGATAATTGATTAGAAGGTTTTCTTTTTTACATAAGGTATGTCTACAAAAATATCACTTTATATAATATTATCTATCGAAAATAACATTTACATGAGTGGTTTTTGATAGATTTTTGTTCGTAAGAGAAAATCATTTTCAGCACATTTGATGGATATGGCCATCGAAATTTATTTTTCTTGTAATGCAAATGAGTGAAGTATAATATCAAGAATGAGGTTAAAAATGAATTCAAATCAATTAAAAAAATTTGCTTTGCAAGTTCAACATTAGAGAAATAAAGGATTACATACCACCATTCTAGGCACAAATGGAGCTCTAATTTTGGGACTCATAAATTCGAGTCGACTAAACAGGAGTTGCCTTTTAAACAAAGAGATAAATAAAATACCAAAACAAATAAAGCTTATAGCTAAACGAGCTGTATACCATGGGATATGCCTCACTCTCTTCCTTAGCCTCCTAAGACCAGGTCCATTAGAGGGTCTTTCTCGAATTTGGGCACAAAATCATAGGCATTTTGGGTTTTTTAAAAAAGAAAAAAGGCCCAACTCGGAAGGGGCAATTCATCCCGTCGACCCTGAAGACTCCGGATGCGAACCATGTGGTATCCGTCGATAGGCTGTGAAAAAAAAAAACCGCAAAAAAAAACATTTTCTCTTTCTCCGATTTTCTTCTTCTCTCGTTCGTGTTCTTTGGCGATTCAGGGCGATTCCGTCGTCACCGCCTGTTCCGTAGATTATTCCCGGTGGAGGTGTAATCCGAACATCGATCTTCCGTCCCCATAGTCCTGGTAAGCTTCGGTTCCTTGTAGTTTTATGTTTTGATTTCGATTTCGCGATTCTAGGGTTTGCGATTTTTGGGGGAAAAAAATCGGGTTGAAATCGGGTATTTTTTTGTTCGATTTCGGTGGATTAGAGGTTCGACGGTTGTCTCTGGTACCCCAAATCTAGTATTCGGTACGAATTTAGTAGATTTGCAAACCCTAGATTCATTTGAAATTAGGGTTTTCGAAATTTTTTTCAAATTTTGGGGCTTTCATCTGGGATTGAAATTGGCGTCTAATTCGTTCAATTAAACCGTAATATCCTTATTTCGAATACGATTTCTTAATAAGGATATTCAAACTGGGTCACTCTCAATACATTATCAAGAATTGTGTGTATCTTAAAAGCCATTTGCTTCTTATTTGTTGTTTGCTATATGGTATTTTGCTATATGATTGGCTTCTTAGTTGTTGTTTGCTATATGGTTATATGAACTGGTTAATCGCTTATGAGTTTTTGGTTGAAATGGTTACTCATTTGTTGTTTGCTATATATTAGTAGATGATATGATCATATTGCATAAGGTCATATCATATTGTAATCGTGTGAGTTCATAAAATATTGGTGATCAATCAGGGGTTTTTTTGGGGGATTGATGGTTCATTACGAGATTTAGGCTTTGCTTGTCTTGCATTTCTTTATTTTGTTAGAACCGTCAAGGCTGATAGTGGGTCGATCAAAATGTTATTGTGCACTTACTGGGGCTTATCGAATGTGATTAACGATCGGGATTTGAATCATTTGGTGGCTTTGTTTTCAAGTATTGTTTTAGGGTTTACTATGCCACAGTACTGGGAGAGAGCCATAACGATACAGCAAAAGGAAATAGAGAAGGTTAAGAGCCCGCTCTACAGGGCAGGCCCCATTGATGGAAAGTTGTCGTATTGGGAGGCTGTGATTTTCGGACCAGCCGAATCGCCTTATTCTGGAGGAGTCTAAAGTCGGCTTGGACTTTCCTCCAGATTACCCGTTCAAGCCACTCAAGGTATTTCCTCTAGAATACCCGTTCTCATATTTTCTCTTCCACTAAAACGGTTCTCATATTTTCTCATATTGTCTCTGCAGGTCTTCTTCACAACCAAGCTCTTTCACCCCAACGTAGGAGAGCGTGGACATATCTTCCTTCGGATGCTGACTGTCGACCGCTTCTCGCCCATTCACACCATCCATACTATTCTCAGTAAACTTCATGAGATGCTCACAAACCCTGAAATAGATGAGGGGGACTATTACGATGAAGCCAAAGCGAAGCTCTATAAAGAAGATAAGGCGGGGTTCGATCAGCGTGCTCGGGAATGTACTTTGGAGCACGCTGGGCCTTGAAATTTTTTTTCACTCTTTCTTTATGTAAAACTACTTGTATAACTCTTGTTTTACAGTTTTCAAGTGGGATTTTGTCTTTGTAAAACATTCAATTTATTTCTTTAAAAAAATATTTTTTTTTTTTCGGGATGAACCCCAAAATGGAGTTCACTACTGAACCATATTTTCACCCGAATTCTTCCCAACCCACCTAAACCGAAAAATATTGCTTTTTAATGCTGATGAACCCCTCTATGGAGTTTACTACTGGACATGCTCTAAGATGATAAATCACAAGATAGAAAAAAAAATCAATCCAGTAGTCAAGAATGAAACTGTGAAGAAATAATTATATTCACATTTAGACCCAAAAATAAAAACCCCATAGATTAGTGTTCATAAGATGTGCATAGATCAGTGTTTATAAAAGGGTTGAAGGAGGGACAATAATACCTTCTTTTTCGTCCGTAGCTGATGAGAAGTTAGAAGCCAAGCTATATATTTAGTTAGTGCTGTTATAAAGTCTTATGAAACCCTAAGCACTTACGTACATAGGCTTTACATCGTCAACGTGGTTTAAAAAGGTGTAAATGTATTGATTCTTAACGAATTCAATTCCATGGATCCTAACTCTTACGGTAGTGTTCCTCCCCAGATTGTAGTAGAAAATATAGAAAGGATCAGATATAATGAACGGTGAAAACACAAGTTCACTGTTATCAGTCATCCCCACAAAGTGATAGTACCGGCTGGTATCCACAGCAAAATCTTTCCAAAAAAGCGACAATATGTAGGTTTTAACCGACCATTTATGTTTCTCAGCATCATCTAGAACCCGCAACTCAAGACTTGTACTTCTTCCACATAAATAGCCATTCATATTAAACTGAATTGCACCTAATTCACCCTTGTAATTCATCAGAGTTAAAGGGTACGTTACACTGATTTCCAGAGATTTGAAATGTTCAGACTTAACATCAAAGCAAACGATGATCCAAGCATTTGCAAGCCCGTTTTTTTTGATAAGCTGTATAATACAAAACTCCATCGATACATATCCCATCACAATCAGGCAATTGGTGTAAGGAACATTCAATCATTCTCCAAGACAGTTTTCCTGTTCCTAATGTCAAAACTTGATGCTCCCCGGAGTGTTGACGATTTCGTGTAAAAATTACTGACATGCTCAATACCTTAAATTCTTTATTGATTGGATCATACCCTAAGTAGTTTCTCACACGAACCCTCCCTTTTCTCACTTTGGGTATTGTTATGGACTGTCAGGACAGGGTTACATATGACCATCGCCTTTGAATCATTACATCCACGTTTGATCCGTACACCTTTAGGAAAAACCAAGCCACGGACAGGTCGATGGATCCAAAACGAACACATTCTGGTGGGGATACGCATGTGATTATCGACAATGATCACGTCATGAGACAAGTTCTGGTCTGGATCTTGACGTTGAGGTGCCGAGAAGAAGAACCACTTACCGTCAACTTGGAAGGTGAACAAGAGACGCGGACGGTCCGAAGAGAATGTCAAGAACAGGTCGGTGAAATCTGGACGGCAGAGAATGGAAGCCCATTGCTTGGACACGCAACGAAACCTCAGTATAGATTTTGCTGGTAATCTCAAGAATATCTCAATCAATATATCAATTGGTATCTGCTCTGATGAGTACTCAACTGATGTCGAACAAAAATCCATCAAAAACCACTCGTGTAAATGTTTTTGGATAGATAATATTTTCGTAGACATACCTTATGTAAAAAAACCTTCTAATCAATTATCCATTAGAATATGTTCTTCTAATCTAAACTAATCATTTATTAATAATTTTTTTTACATCCATTTCAAATGAATTACAACAACATGCAAGAATAAAATGATTGAGACATTGTTAAACCGCCAAAGTAAATATTTATTGCTTGGTTTTCCTCCTCCTGATCGGGTTCTCATCAGAGCCAAACGCTAAACCATTTTGGAATATAAAATTTAAAAGTACTTTTGAAATTTTTAATATCAATGGTGTCTTAAAAAACCCTTAAAGCACCGATATATATATATATATAAGATGCAAAAGGAATTCACGTAAGACTTCTAAAATCAAATAATGATAAAAAAAAATATAATAACTAGCTCTTGCCCTAAATAGAAAGAAATCAATACTTTCTTGCAATATTATACTCACATTTTCATTAGATTTGACTAACCGTAGAAATTCACATTTAAATCTAAAAGCAAAACAAATTAATTTAAAAATAAATAATTTAAACTAAGCTTTTTGTGGAAACAAAGGTATGAGTCATATATTATCTTATAAAAAGGGAAAAAATATTTACAGTCTATATATTGTATATAAATAACATATATCAAGATATGGTGCATGAATAAAAATCTTGGAAGGAAGACTAAAGGTGGCAATCGTGTTTGTCTATAAGAGCTCTATCTATCTACTAGGGGTTTCGTATTCATTTTCATGCAATATGTCTGGAGTAGGTCGTTCCATCCCAAGAGATCTTGTCATTGAGATTCTCTCGAGATTGCCTGTGAAATCCATCGCAAGGTTTCGGTGCGTTTCGAAGCGATGGGCTTCGACTCTCTACCATCCAGACTTCACGGATCTGTTCCTGAAAAAGTCTTTGGCTCGTCCTCGTCTTTTCTTCGTCGTCAAACTCAGAGGTAAGTTTGTCTTCTTCTCGACACCTCTACCTCTAAATCCAGACCAAAACTCGTCGTCTCCTTTAGTTGCCGATCTTCACATGAGTTTCTCCACGGAAGATTCTTATTCCGGGGTTACTCCTCCTGTCTGCGGATGGCTATGTAGTAAAGTTAAGAATCCAGTGATGTGTAACCCTAGCACTGGACAGTTCATAACTTTACCCAAAGTGACGTTGACGGGAACTGTGCATACCTATTTGGGGTATGATCCGATCAACAAACTATTCAAGGTACTGTGCGTGTCCGAGGATGGTTGTCGAGTTTTGACGTTTGGAAATGGAGACATGTCATGGAGAATGATCGATTGTCCGATTCCCCATTCCCCTTTACGTAATGAGATATGCATCAATGGAGTTTTGTACTATGCGGCTGCATCAACCGTAGAGGGCATGCCGCCTTATCTGATAGTTTGCTTTGATGTTAGGTTTGAAAATTTCACGTTTCTAGTTGTGAACATTAAGATTTGGAATTCAAATCTGATCAATTGCAATGGAAAATTGGGAGCAGTTCTCCCTGATTCCTTCTTTTGCTTCACTCGACGTAGTACAAGTCTTCAACTGTGGGTTCTTGAAGATGTCGAGAATCAGAAGTGGTCGAAGCATAGCCATGTATTTCCGCCTTTGTGGAGGGATATTGTTGGGGAGCTTAACATTGTTGGGATGACTGGTACAGGTGAATTTGTGTTTGCCCCAAACGCTCAACTCAACCCCTACATTTTCTTCTACAATGTGGTGAGGAACACTGTCAGAAGAGTAAGAGTCCAAATCCAGTTAGGAGCTTTAGCTTCTAAGTATGGCAAGATCTACACATTTGTGGACCATGTTCAAGATGTGAAGCTTATGGAAGCGCCTAGGAGTTCATAGGACTTTTCAACAGTCCATAAGCGTTGCGTCTATCTCATTTCTTGTATTGTTCTTTGTATGGCTATTTTATGTTTACTTTGAAAAACTTCATCTCTTGGAAACTGTGTCCATGAGAATCAATGATTATTGTAAGCAATTGTTTTAGCTATTTAATCTTTTTTCTTTTCATTAGCAAGCAACTTTGTGTCTTCGTTAATTCTACTACGTACCTTAGTTATAGACATCATTAAAGGAAGAATTTTATTCATATGATTGAACTCCGTGCTCTAAGTAAGAACTTGGTGAAGCATGTAACAAAGAGGATTCTCACGATCCACAATCCCATCGCAATATATACAATGACACTGAAGAAGAGTAAAAATTATTAACTGATAGCACTTGAAATATATATATTCCCTGTGGGAAAATCATAATTTTTTGAAGGTGTAACAAGACAAATCATCTCTGGTTCTATATTCAAAGACGGCACATTATCTTAGGATGTAGATTTGGCGGTGTTGGAATTAAATGTAATTCATAAATTATCACTAGAAGTCTCAATAGAACAGAATTAAACCATGTGAGACAAAAGATGGGAGTTGAAATCTGAAAGATATGTGAGTTAATATCATATGATGGCTCAGGAATTAAGGGTTTCTAATATCAAAACTGATGGAACGGAAGGAAACTAATGATACTTATACTTCCTGATCACCATTTTTTGTTGTTGTTGATAAAATGTGAATTATGTATCAAAAAATGAAAAAGCTCTCTTTACAATAGTTCGGTGGAGCAAAATATTTTGTAAAAGGTCCAAAATAATAAAATTCTAAATTTTAGTTATATTCAATTCAGTTAAATGTTAAATTAAAATATATAATTTAATGAACACTTAGTAGGTGATTGGTAGTCACTTTTCTTCAACAGCCTTAATCAAAGCATATATCCAATATATATCCAAGCAAATCATTTACAAGTTCAAGTCTACAACCCAACCAATCATCCGTTAATATTGGTATTTACTGTTCAGCCTGATTCATGTTGAATTCCCAACACTTTCAAAAGATAATTCTCTTGTGAGATCATCGAACTGCCCATGTTTGTTTTTCTCTAACCATTTTAATGGCGAGAATATGTCTTATATCACCAAAATCTTTCAAATCAAACTCTGACTTGAGAAAAAACTTGAGTTTCGTAACCATGGAAGCAATCCGTAATCATCTTCATAAAGTAGTAGATATAAATATAGGGATTAGGATCACTTTCCAACTTTCTGTAATAAACATGTACGTCAAAATAACTTCTTCAGTAACCACTTTTTCTGCAAAAACTCATTTGTTCCATTGTCGATGTGATAGTTTTTATATACAAATCGATATTTTCCTAAACATACCTTATTTTAAAAAAAAAAAATTCTAATCAACAAAGCCTTCAGGTTTATCCATTAGAAATGGCAAATGAGAAGGCTCTTTAATTTTCTTTCAAAAGCACTAGTAGAATTCTTAATATCAATGGTGTCTTCCAAAAACCCATGCATATAGCACGGATATATATGTAAGAAGTAAAAGGAAGTCACGTAGGACTTCTAAACTCAAATAAAAAAAGAAAAGTTTAACACCAAGCATCTAGCCCTAAAAAGAGAAGAAATCAATACTTTCTTGCAATAGATTAAACTCATAATTATAATTTATACTAGATTTGATAACCAGTAGAAATTCACATTGAAATCTAAAAATAATAAAAAATTAAACAAAGCTTTGTGTGGAAAAAACATATGAGTCATATATAGTCTTATAAAAAGAAAAAATATATATTTACTGTCTAAATATTGTATAGAAATAAGATACATTTACATATATATATACATATATATAGATATGGATAAAATCGTGGAACAAAACCAAAGGTGGTAAACGTGTTTGGGTATTCGAACTCTAGAGGTTTCATTACAACTTCATGTAATGTCCGCCATGGAAAAACAAAAGGGTCACGTCTCCAAGGATGAGGTTAGCTTAAACACCCCTTCAATGAACGCATTAGGAGAAAACTCTGGTTCGATGATACCAACTGATCTCATCGTTGAGATACTCTCGAGATTGCCTGCAAAATCCATAGCCAGGTTTCGTTGTGTGTCAAAGGACTGGTCGTTCATTCTCTGCCGTCAAAATTTCACCGATCTGTTCTTGAAGATGTCTTCTGCTCGTCCGCGTCTTTTGTTCATCTTAGAACTCAAACGTAAGTTTCTCTTTTTCTCGACACCTCAGCCCCTAAATCCAGACCAGAACTCATCTCCTATAGTTCTCGATCGTCACATGAGTGTCTCCACCGAAGATTCTTTTTACGGGGTTACTCGTCCTGTATGCGGATGGCTCTGTAGTAAAGATAAGAATATAATGATCTGTAACCCTAGCACAGGACAGTGCATAACTTTACCCAAAGTGACATTAACGGACCGACTTACGGTGTATACCTATTTGGGGTATGATCCTATTGACAAATTGTTCAAGGTATTGCACGTGTCCAAGGATGGCTATCGAGCTTTAACATTTGATAATGAAGAAATGTTATGGAGAATGATCGATTGTTCGATTCCCCATAGGCCATTACCTACTGGAAATGGCATATGCATCAATGGAGTTTTGTACTACATAGTTATGGGCTTAGAACATTTTATGGTAGCTTGCTTTGATATTAGGTTCGAAAAGTTCACGTTTCTAGCTGTGGACGTTCCCATTTTGAAGGCAAAACTGATCAATTACAATGGAAAATTGGGCGCAGTTCTCCCTGCTGATTCGGTTTCTTTTTTCGAAGGAAATACTACAAGTTTTGAACTATGGGTTTTAGGCGAGAATCAGAAGTGGTCGAAGCATATCTATGTATTGCCACCATTGTGGAGGGATGTTGTTGGGAATAAAACCATGCTACACATTGTTGGGATGAGTGGTACAGGTGACTTTGTGTTTGCCCCAGATTATCATCAATTGGACCCCTACATTTTCTTCTACAATGTGGCGAGGAACACTGTCGTAAGAGTCGAGATCCAATTAGGAACTGAAGCTTCTAAGTCTCGCAAGATCCACACATTCGTGGACCATGTACAAGATGTGAAGCTTATGGAAACGCTTAGGAGGAGTTCATAGGACTTTATAACGGTCCTAAGTGTTGCGTTCATCTCATTTCGTGTTGGTAACGATATGATTGTTCATTAGATGGCCATTTTAATTTATGTTTACTTTGACTTCAAAACTTTATCTCATTATGGAAACTGTGTTCATGAGAATCAGTGGCTGTTGTAAGCTACTGTTTGAACTATTTAAAACATTTTTTTTCATCAGCAAGCCACTTTGTGTCTTTGTTAATATATTCTACTACATTAGTTATATACATACTTTACACGACGAACCTACAAGCATGTAACAAAGATGATTCTCACGAATCCACAGGCCCATCACAATATATACAATGTCGACAATGAAGAAGATAAGAAGAAAAATTATTTGATTACACTTGAAATCAATATATACTCCTTGTAATTATCTCTCTGTGGATAAATCATGACCTTTATCTTTGGCTATGTTGGAATAAAAGTAATTGATAATAAAAATCACTAGAACTAGGAACATAATTAAACTCTGTGAGACAAAAGATGGATAATTGAAGGGTTTTTGCTAAAAATAACCTAAAACTTGATTTTGAATACAAAAGTAAACCCCTGAAAAAACATTTGGCAGAAATAACCTAAAAGAGTAGTGAAAAGACCATTTAATCCTGTATGAGTAAACAAAAAACGGATGTTCTAATTACTGTTTACATCCTGGCGAAGTCTAATAAAGAGAGAAAGAAGTCTACTATTAGACTTCGTTTATCGAAATGAAGTCTACTAAGTAATTAAATCTGGAAATTTAATTTTAAAATTTAGAAAATATTATTTTGGTATCAAAATTACATTTATAAATTCCGTAATTGTAACCCAAATGTACATAAATTATTTTTTCATATTGATAAATAGAAATTTATGTTTTTAAATTAAGAAGAAGAAAATCTATTATTTAGGTTTTAAAATTTGTAGACTTCTATATAAAAGTCTGCTAAACCGAATAAATTAATCTTTATCGAGAATTAAACCGAAATTGAACCAAAAAAATGAATTTAATCAAAATTTTAACCAAAATTGAACCAACATAAATTTATCTTAACCGGAAATTTTATCCTACTATATAAACGAACAAATCCTAATAAAACCCTAATCTTATCCAAAAGAGATTCTAAAACGGCGCTTTCTCCGCCTCTCCGTCGCCTCTCTCACCATTTTTTTCGAAGCTCACTGGTGTCCTCCCTCGTAAGTAGAGAGTAACTTAGCATCTCAATCCGGTCTCCACGATGGCAAATCAAGCAGCTTCTGTGGTGGCTCCAGCAAGACCACCGTCGATGTTTTGGCCGCTCAGGTAATATGAAAAACCATTCTTTAAATTTCTTTCTCGTTGCATTCATCAAGCTTTACTCTAATAGTATATGTGAGGTTTTATTATTGATTTCAACCTCTAGTCTTAGCTCTTTAACCTGAACTTCTTAGATCAATTAACCTTGATACTTAGTTTGTTTTGTTGATTTCAAGCAAGACACAAGAAATTTGGTAACCCAGTTCCCTTTCGGTACGTCTGGGGAGAGACAGCACTCTCAATCCACTATAGCAATCAAAAGATAATAAGAATTTAGTACAACCGTGATTTTCTTCTTCTAAGCTTTCTCTTATGTCTCTCTTTCTAATCTTTTCAGATATTCCCAAAGGAGAGCACAAACCCTTAAGACAAAAGCAAGAAGAATCACTAACGCCAAACTCCACACAGTAACCGCAACTTTGGAGACGAAGAACCGTAGAAGAACTTTTTACCAAATTCTCTCTCTGTTTTCCTCTTCTCTTCTTTTCGCTACATCCTTTTTCAAAACCCTCGTCTCTTCTTATATACCAGGTTAAGACATGAGAATGGGCCTTAGCATCAGCCCAATAAATCACTTTCAAATCTGTACGTGACTTTTGTTGGACTTAAACCCACTCACATATTAACACGTGAGAAGAAACATTGGCCCATGTGAATAATTGAGACTATCTGCTCACAGTATAAACTGATTCTTCTCTCTCAATCTGTTTTATTTTCTTCAAAACCTTGGAATATTGAGGCTACTTTTCCTTCGTCGGTTGAAGAAGATTTTGTGTTGGATGGTGGTGGTGACCGGCCGGAAGAAGAAAGCCGGTTCGGTTCTGGTTTATCTGAATGTATACGATCTCACACCCATCAATGGCTACGCTTACTGGTTAGGACTCTCTCATTTTTTTGGATCTACCACTCTGGTGTTGAAGGTATCACCTTTCTCTCTCAATTTTTGGGCTTCAATTTCAGGGCTTTATTGCTATCATCTCTATTTTAGAACAGAAAGTCTGGGGTTTTTTGGATTTTTGTTTCCAAAGTTGACTTCTCTTATCTCTTTGCCAACTGTAAAATGAAAAAAAAGCTTGCGTTTTTGGATTGGTTGGAATCTTGTAATGCAAATATTTTACTCCTACTGTTTCAGTCATACTTTATTATCGTAAAGACTTGAAAAATTGTTACTTTGCTTGTGTTTGTTTTGCTTGCGTCATTTCTTGAAGTGTTGGTTATCCAATGATGAGTTGGTGATAATTCTTTTAATCTGTCGTTTTGGTTTATCCTTTTCCAGGTATGATTACTCTGGTTATGGTCAGTCTACTGGAAAGGTGAGCTTTCTAACATTTTATGACTGGATCTAGCTGTATTACATTAGATACCAAACATTGTTTCTAACATTGTTTCTAGAAATTTAAATTGACCGGTTTCATGTTACATTAGATTCCAAAATTGGAAAACTTTTGACCCATTTTATATGACTGCTCTTCTGATTTTCTATGACTAATTGACCAGAACCGGGTTTTATATGACTTTTAAAATTGGTTTTGTGATTTATATGTCCTTCCAAAATGAAGGATGTTTATGACTGGATATAGTTGTATTCCTTCTTTTTTTTTTTGTACATCGCTTTATCTATTCTTTAAACCCTCTAAAGTTCTGTTTGGTTTTGGTGTGTGAGGGCTTGTGAATGTTAATAAATGTTAATCATGGATTGGTTATTGAATTAGAAGTTGCTATTGTTCTCTTTTGCCAGCCGGTTCTTGCAGTGTAGAGGTCCATATGCTAAGAGGAGGCAGCCATTGGTAGATTCTACGGTTGTGTCAAAGATGCGACAATGTCTCGGCACGCCAGAGTGTATGAATGTTTTGTTGGATAGTAATTCTCTTATTTGTGTGTCTAATATGTAATGATCATAAAACTTTTTTGTATCTTTAACAAGTTGTAACGGTCATAAACATGTATTTATCTAACTCTCTAATAATTACAAGCTTGATTTTTGATATATAACTTGTTTATTTCCCTGTCCCAAATAGAAAAATATCGACAGATGATCATTATACTACATGAGAATAAGTGAGTTTTGATAAGATCAGAATATCAGATTTCAAATTGATGTTATTGTATGGAGATTTTCTTTGTTTATCTTTTTAAGGGGTATGATAACAAGCCGTAAACATGATCGAAACTTTTGAATGTACATAACAAAATACTTGCACATATTGTCTTTACTAAGTATCCACGAAGATATGTTAAAATAAGCTTATGTCACTTTATCAACTTGTGTGACTTAATTTTGTATGTACTATAAATGTTAACTTGTAAACAAGAATACAAAAGCACTGCATAAAATACAAGTTCTCTTCCATCTCCTATTCTCAATTGAACTATTCTACATTAGAAAAGACAAAAAAATCATATTAGTAAACATAATTATAAACCACATTATGGCAAACACATACAACACAAATTTTTCTAGCTATTAGACTTCTCGTGCAGACTTCATCCGTAGACTACTGGAGAATACTATTGTTACAAGTTAATTAGCTTATAATTCAAAAAATTCGATTCCACAATAATTATCGATATAAATCAAATTAAAGCCATTGAGTAATTCAATCAATTGCTAACACGCATGTCAAAACCTAAAAATTATTAAAAAAACGTTATAAATATTTAAGATATGCGTTTTTAAAATAAATACAAAAAGTAGACTTCCTAATTAGACTTCCTTAGTAGACTTCAGGAGAAGTCTACTGAAGTCTACTTTTATAAGCTAAGTAGCTTAAAAATCAAAACTTCTGATTCAACAATAAATATCGAATGAAATGAAATGAAATTCACTGGGTAGTTCAATCACTTACTAAAAAACATATCTAATCCAAAAAGTAAAAAAAAAAATATTTTATAAATTTGCCTAACACGCGTTTTTAAAAAAACTGCAATAAGTAGATTTCTACAGTAGACTTCAAACGTAGACTGGAGGAGAAGTCTACTTTTTCATAGTGAAGTCTACTAAAGAAGTCTACTAGAAACGTAGATCGGATCAAACGTAGACTGGAGGAGAAGTCTACTAAAGAAGTCCAATCCATTGACTTTTCCTTCAGTAGACTTCAGAAGTAGACTTCCGGCCAAAAAGGTTACTTTAGCATTTGACTGATGCATTGACTAACAAAGTAGACTTCTATTGTAGACTTCATGTACGAGTAGACTTCTCTGACAGTCTACTTTTGAAGTCTACTTTTTCAATAGAAGTCTACATAAAAAAATAGGTTATTTTTGCAATTGAATTTTTGAGTAGACTTCACTGTGAAGTCTACTCAAAAATAGATTCCTTCTAAGTTTGACCGAAAAATATAAGTAGACTTCTTTAGTCTACAAACTGTAGACTTCTTTGGGAAGTCTACTGAAGTTTTCGGAATTTTTTGAATTTTTTATTTTTTAAAAAACTGTAGTCAAACACTAAAATGACCTATACATTTTTGGTCAAACTACAAAAGTAACTTAAACGTAGACTTCTTATGCAGACGTAAACAGTAGACTTCATAAGGAAGTCTATATTAAAAAGTCAAAATATGGTCAACTACAAAAATAACCTCTTTTCTTTCGTAGACTTCTTATGCCTTCAAACGAAGTCTACTAGGCTTTTTTTTGTTTTCAAAGGATATCGAGTAGACTTCTCGTGCAGTTAATGAAGTCTACTTTTAAGAAGTCAATTG